GTTTATTCTGGCTCTTTTATAGCAAAGGCAGAAAGGAACTTGAAAATTTACTTTCTGTTAGACAAACACATCATTCTTGCTTTTTTTAATGAGGGAGAAGGAATACTACTACTCACTATGTTTCCCTTGTGTTAAGACATAGAAGTTCATAATTGAGTAGAATCATAAGTAAGTTCGCTTAAGCCTAAATGCTTAAGTGAAACTTGAACCCCCTATACAACATCCCTAACATGTTATTCTGTCTCTACTGAAGTGTTCCAGTAATAAAGTAGTCTGACCCACCTTTAGGTGGATCATTTTGTATCAACTTGTATCATTCACAAGTTCACTCACTTAACAAATTTTAATTGTCCACTGTATGACACACATAGTCCTAAGAAATGGAGCTACCATACTGAACCAAACAAAAGCAGTCCCTCTCCATTTGGAATGTATAGACTTTTTTTTTTTTTTAACATTATGTCAAATTCTACCTTTGCTAACATCGACCTTTTGCTATTAAGTTTTCATCATATCCACCTTCTATTCCTATAAGCTACACACTTAACCAGGCTCTTTTTAATTAACTGATCTATAAACTGATAATTTTTACATCAAGTCTGATTAGAAATAAGTTTTGAAGGTGAAAATTTGAGCTAACAGTGGTATAGGCTACTTGCAAAACATTTCAGCTAAAACAAGCATGATTTTGAGTCATTAAAACAGACGCACTGAAAGTTCTACCATTTTTCTTCCTCTGGTCCATGTTTCTGAGATTGTTTCATTAAAGCTCAGTGCATAAAACTGATTGACAAGTAAAGCAATGTAAATGCAAATGCCTGAATCCACAATAGGGCAGCCCCTTTCGAAGGGAATTGATGGCTCTGTAAATACAATACTAAATAAATACTTAGGTATTGAGAATCGCCTATTAAAAAAAAAACATTATTTGTCCCTAGAAATATTTTGTTGTTGTTTTATAGGTAGTTACCAAAATTATTTTTTAAAAAGGTTATAAAATAGACATTAATTATCTGCAGATTATATATGGGAAAGAATTCAACATATAATCTCATGCACTAGAAGACCAATTATTCTTTGAACCAAACCTTCTACCACCAACAATGGAATGCAGCCATATTTTCTTAATTGACTCATGAATATGTTAAAGGGACTAGAGTTATGATCTTTTGCATATTAATTCTGTTTTCCTACTTATTTAGAAAGATTAACTTTGACAAAGAAAGAACTTACATTGACTTATTTTTTTAATTTACAAAAAACATATTTTATGTCTCAATTTACAGTCTTCACAGTGTATCTTCACAGTGCATACAGAATAATTATTGATTTTATCATTTCAAAAAATGGTAGATGGGTTATTCCCGACCTGTTCTTTGTTTTGTATAAATGCAAAATCTCCTTTTCAATATTTCTAAATGTTACTTCTACCTTGTCAGGTAGATCCCTAAGTTGAACTACCTCTATACAGAATTTTCTTTGTCATTATTGTTTTCATCGTAAATGAAGGCATCCATTTTATTAGCATAATCCTCTATCAACATTCTGGTGCTAAATATGTCCTAGTTGATAAATATTGGCCAAAGGGATCATCTGAAAAAGAAGAGGAGGAGGAGAACGTTGTCTGGAATTGCTTCATTTCTGTTACAATGCCCATCTTCTTGTTTTCTGACTGGGAAGAGTCAGAGTAAGTCTAATAGCATTTGTCATCCTGGAAAAGAAGGGCAGCCTCAAATCATGAGGACTGTTTAGGTAGTAGTGGAAGAAAAAGCAGAAAGGAGAGAAAAGATTCAATGCCTGACCAGATCTAAGTGGGGCATTGAGTCAACCAAAGAATTCTTTGCTCTGTGATTACTCTTCATTCCCAAGTACAGTTGCCTTGGCCAGCTGTCAGAATTAAAGGAGTGTCCCCTGAGATATAGTCCTCCCCAGGTTGAATCACTGGGAAACTGGCTTGTTCCTGTATGAGGATCATATTTTTCCCCACTAGTGAGTGAGATGAGGAAATCATCTCTTACCACTGTGTGCTTCTCAACTTTTACTGTAGTCACAGGCATTCTTGAAAATCAGATAAAAGCCCTACTAGAAAAGTGTGTGTGCATACACACACAATTTTGAAAACAATCTGAAGGGGTTCATACGTTTTCTGACACCCAGCCATGATTCTCCTTGAGGCCAGGGATTCCAGGTTAAGAATCTCCTATACTAGAGAAGAGGAAAGTAGATTTTAACAGTGTATTCCCTGTGTCAGATATTATAATAAGCACTTTATATGCACTATTTTATAATAATCCTGTGAGTTAGTTTTATTGTCTCAATTTTTTAAATGAGCTGGTGAGCATTAGTGACTTGCTCACAGTTAAGCAACCTCTGACGGAAAACCTCAGAATACTAATTAGTCTGTTCATAGATACCTTATTGCTACATTCTTTTATTCTCCTCTTTCTGTTTTCCTTTTTGTGTAGCTCATATTCCAAACTGTGCTCCTGGCTCTCAGCTCCCTAGAGTATTATTTAATTTCCCCTTATCCTTACCCTGGCCAATACTTACTCATTTTCTTCCCACTGGAGGCTCCCATTATGCTCCATGCCTGGGATTTGGTGCCATGCTATCTCTCCTTTCACCAGCTGCCCAGAAGCAGAATCTTCTGACATACCTCCTCCATACTCTCTTCTACCCTACCCCCACTGATAGCCTGTACTGGTGTAGTCTCACATTTGTTCCTAAGCCAATACTAATTGAGGAAGGAAGTAGACCTTGGTGTAGTAAGCCTTAGAATTAAATTACTTTGATAAGATCTACTGATCTAGCCTCCAAGAGCTGGGCCCGTCCTAAGTGTCTATTTCTGCCAACTAGAAAAGGCCTCCAATGTTTTTAGGGTATGCCTTTGTGGGTCTCTGTACTTTTCATTTCATGGCATTCCCTTTGACAGCATGTGAGGACTTTTACTACCTTGGAAATTAAATAAAAGAGAATATCCCTTGAGACTTAAAATGTTAGGTAATAAGGCAGAACAGAGATAAGCAACATTGTGAGAAAGGTAAAGACTGGTTCCCATGTTAACAAGATTTGATTATAACTTGGTTGTCTACCAACACTTTAAAAAATAAAGACTGCATCTATCAAAATAACTGGGATGTGAGGGCGATCTGGCTGTGACATCTGTCACCCCACTGATCGCCAGGGTTGATTCAGCTGATCTGGCTGGCTAGGTGGGTGTCCCCTTCCTCCCTCACTGCTCCATGTGCGTCCCTCCCGAAGCTGCACGCTCGGTCGAAGAGGACGACCTTCCCCAATAGAGGAGAGGACCGTTCTTCGATCAAGGGTATATGAGTAGCTGCGCTCCCCTGCTAGAACCTCCAAACAAGCTCTCAAAATAAGAACTGACCAGTCATAGAAATATGGAAAAAGGAGAGTTGCAGAAGATACATTTTAGCAATGCTAATCCCATGATAGTCAAGGAAATGTACACTCCTATTTACCCTTTGAAACTCAAATGCTTCCTGCTCAAGAAAGGCATTCCTCTTATGAAGAGAGATGCAAGGAACTGTAGGCAATGAACATAGCATGTTCTGGATACATTCACAATGAAAGTATTTTTATGGGGACGTGAATGTGTTTTATGTTATCTTAGCCTAATGCAATTAAACAATTTATATATCAAATCACCCCTGTACTGAATCTATGCTTACCTAGTTACCGTCTAATTATGATTTGATTTTCCATTTAGTTCTTTCTATGGGCAAACATTAATTGCTCATATAGATGATAAATATTTGGTGTCTATGACAGTGATTTCTCAAGATGACTTAATAAAGTGGTCTTTGAACATTATTTGATTTGTCTTAAAGCCAGACTGCAGTTGAACACTTGCTAAAGCAAGTTGTCTGCTTGTGTGGCAGTTAGATTTCTCATTGAAGATATACAAGTCAGGATTTACATGTCTTCCCTGGGCTTGGGTGAATATTAGTTAGAGTCTTTCAGTTTCTCATCACTTGTTTCTCTGACCACCATCAAAAAGGTGAGTTTGAACATTCATTGCTGGGGGCAGCTCCTCTGAAGTGACTTATCAATCTGGGGTGGTCCCTAGGAAGGTCTTACCCAGTACCAGGCAGCCCTCCCTTTATGGTACTGCAACAAATTTCATCTTTCTGAATAGATCTTTACAGTGTCTGCTCTGGAAAAGGACTGGGTTTCTCTTTGCCCCCAACTCTTTAGTCAGAGTAGCTCGCTGGCTAATTATGTATCCAGTCCCTTGCTCTCTGACAAACTCTAGCCATTTGGATGGTGTGCAGATGCCTAGAAACAAAGCTTTGGCTTGACTGTGAATTGATGATAAACCTGCTGAGTGCCTGGCTCATGGACTGTGTGATAGCCTGTTCCTGTCCCCTTGGACTCTTGGCTGAGGTCTTCTAATACAGAGAAAAAACTGCAAATGATTCCTCCTGGCCACCTAGTGTTTGACAACCATCTGGATCTGCCCCTTTGGTGTCCAATGTTACTAGAAAGGTGAGCAGGCACTGATAGTGATCTGGTTTATGCCTGAAAGTTTCTGTATCTGTTGAAAACTCTCCTTAGACTGTCCTCACCAAACTAGAGCCTAGGGTTAAATGAGTTTTCCCAACACCATCTTCTGCTCAGTGCCAGTGTCTTTTCCTTTCTAATGGTGGGACGGCAGAGAGTCTTAAATGTCAGGCTTAGAAATAAGTAGAGACTTAAGTTGTGTCATGTCAGCAGATGAGACTGAGCCCTCCAAAGATGAATAGATAGGAAAGGCAAAATGAAAAGAAAAGAGGACATTTTCCGATGGGGGCCAGGTAGACTAAAACAGAGGTCTGACTCCTGCTTATTTTTGTAAGTAAAGTTTATGTAGAACATAGCCACACTCATTCATTTATGAATTTTATCTGTTGACTTGGCTTACCACAGGAGGGTTGAGTAGTTGTGACAGAGACCAGATTATGCAAAGCCTAAAATATTTACTATCTTGTCCCTTACAGAACAAGTTTGCAGACTCCTCATCTACATGATGATTACAGAGACCTGGACAAATTAAAGGATTAGCAGTAAGAATGAAAGTTATGAAGGATATTGAAGAACTTTTACTGCAAGTTCCTGATAAATGCCTAAGAAGTTTTTAATGCACAAGTCTACCTCAGATGTTACATTAAACTTGAGTAGGTTTGCCACTGTGAGCGACAGGTATGATACCACCCTTTCACCCCAAAAAGTAAAAGAAAAAAGAAAAGAAGAACCTATTCTGATGTTCTGATTTGTTACAAGATAATAACTTACTATCTTTGAAAAATGGCCATGCTTCACCCGAAGCTTTATGATTTTGGAGAAGAAACAAGGTACCCAGTGAACTTAACGGCAGGGAAAGTGGAATAATTCCAGATGGTGTAGACAGAGGAAATGTTTTATGCATTTGTTGAAGTACAGCTTCAACCAATATGGAAAAACTACAGAATTCTGGGAAAATAAGAGCAATGGACATGTTTGAATTCACAAGAGCAAAAAATAAATCTCTATCTCTCTAGAAAGATAAAGAGATAATTAGTCATGTGGAAAGAAAGAAAGAAAGAAAAAAGAAAAGAAAAGAATTCCATTATGTTAAATGAAATTCTTCTCTATGAAATACAATCTATTTCTCCTTTTGCTGTTACCTTTCCCCTATTAATTCATTAACAAGCAATGTCTCAGGGGAGAAATTATATTGAATATAGAGGACAAAATGTCAATATCTTGGCTTCTGAGTTCCAAGATAGGCTCTTGAGACTCATAACAGAGACATATTCTTGAACGTCAGGGCTTTTGACCTGTAAGGGTCAGAATATTGTATTTCTAAAAGGCTAAGACTGGAAGTCATCTAGTCGGTTCTATAACTAATAGTTTGGAAATATAATAGGAATTTATCCCTGGACATTAGGTAATGGGTGTCCAAAACGGGGAAGTATTGGAGAGGATGTGCACTTTATTTTAGAAGCTTGTGTTGAGAAGGTATCACTCCCCTAAGACAACCTAAGACTCCCCTAAGAACTGAGCTATAAGTGGGTACAGCTCTAGAACCTCAACTATGTTTGGGGCAGGGAGGTGCAGTATGCAGAAGGTACCTATGTCTTGTGTTTCAGAGAGTAGTGGGGAGTGGGTGAGCCTTGTAGAGAAGCCCTGTGTCCTGCATGGTCCCTAAGATGTCAACTCAGTATGGCACAGAAGTTACCTAGGTAGAAGGGTTTCAGGTGGCTCCACAGAGTTTTAGGAGAGTGGTCAGTTGTTTTCCATATCCCTCAAATAAGGTATGGATATAGCTGAGAGTCAAATGGAGAAGCAAAAGTCCTTGCTATTGTAAAGAGGAGGATGTAGAAGATATAGAGATGGTTTAATGAAAGAAGACTATTATTTTTTCAGAGGTACAGGTCTGTGATTCATCGGTCTTACACAATTCACAGTGCTCACCATAGCACGTACCCTCCCAAATAATACATTATGTGTTAAAAAAAGAAGAAGAAGAAGAAGAAGAAGAAGAAGAAGAAGAAGAAGAAGAA